CTGACCCCAACGAAGTTTTCCGAGTGATTTCAACGGTTCAACAGGACTACCCAAAGGCATTGGCACCGCGTCTGTCAGTCGCTGCAGTCAGTTTACAAAAAGCGGTCCCGTGAGTACAGCTGAACTTTGTGTAGGCCCCACAGTTAGCATGACCACCTGCTGAGTGTGTGAAGCTATCCGCAAATTCTTACCCTTCCGCCTCCCCAGCACTGCTCTTCCCAACCCTCTGCCATCCAAACTAGGGTTCTTTTAAACTTACTTCTGGTCTGTCATTAAAAAGTGCATCAGAGGGAACATTGTCAGAAGTGTACCGCATTGGTTCCATAAAGCCTAGCGATGGTATTATCCTCAGAAAGCAGGTCACATCCGTTTCAGGTTGGACAATATAACACAGGCGTTTTCCCGTCTTTGTTGCTTTCTAAGCATTGCATCGCAATTTGAATTCCTAGCTTGGTTGGGCAGTCCTGTTAATTGATACGCACGTATTCTGAATGATCGAGAATATGTGAGGCCCAGGCCTATCTCGCGTTGCATGAACAATTAGAGAGCAGTGGTCAAGGTCCAGGTCACTACCTGCAGAGCTGATTTAAATATGTGGTGAGTTGTACATATTTACATGCCTTGACAATGGGCTCGCGTGAGAGTTCGACATGTCGGACAAATAAAGCTCTGGTCCCAGAGAGCGCTTTAGCGTCTTCTATGTTTATATATGTGTACGCAAACTAGGGGAGCAGTTCCTTTTTGTGTGTGGAAACCCATAAATGCATCTGAGATGACAGCTACAATTGATACAGAAGGCATACTAACAGTAAGTAAAGTCGGCAGAGCTACTGAGCAGCTACTGTCGAATTCAGTTAAGGATTTCTTTTAGGATGTCCCAAAATCTACTTTTTTTCAAATAATTGAGTAAATATTTACCGTAAGATAAGATGTCTCTCCGTATGGTTGTGCTCATTTTGGTTTAAGCCTAAAGCATGGCCGCTTAAGATGCTAAAATATTTTCTAAAGGGGGATTTTTAGTCAGTGCAATTTGACTGCCATTTGCAGGGACAACAACTGCTTTCTTGTATGATTAATTCTGTTTTGTTGGGGAGGTTTAAGCGATCTCAATGCTTCCAAGTATTTTTGCACCATTTCTCACCCTGCAGCTTATACCAATAAAACATCATACGCAGTCATTGAATATATTTATAAAAACGTACAGGATTGATAGACAGTTGTGAAATTCTCCTACCATACTTGACGCTTGGTAATAGTTTTGATTCCATGTTTCTATCTAAAGTCCTTGTTGTCCTTACTTTAAATTTGGCAGTATAATATTGGCAACATAATAAGCCGGTAATTAGAACACTAGGGGTATTCGCAACTGATTTTTCAGGACTTAAATAATAGACGTTAAATGTTTACTATTAGTCACTAGTATGGCAAAGCTCCGATAACGGCCATCTCCAGATTGGTGAGCTGGACCGCCATGATCCCCGTCCCTTGCGTAATATGCATATTTATCTAAAGTATCAGTTTATGATGCATATATGAAGCTTAGTTTAAGGAATTAAAAGGCAAAGGCTCACTTGGAATGAAAGCATCATCGAAACCTGTACGATGACCTGCGGATGAGCTGTTGGAGCTGGCTAGCGTTGTGTTTGGAAATGGCATCAGTGCTGGATTCAACTGGACCTCGCCGGTCGCGGTGAGATTACTGGACGTCTTAAAGAGATCGCTGCCGCCAGTGACTGTCTGGTTCGGACGATTAAGGGCGGAGGCGGTGGTGGTGATCATCTCCAGTTCACTGCTTCCCGACGTGGAGTGAGGCTTAATCAATGGCTCCAGATGACAGTTGTTGCCTCCGGCTGTGTTTGCCTTAAACTTGGCCGCAAAGGTATCAGCACTGGCACTACCGACTGCAATGGGGTTCTTGCAGGTGCGTCCCGAATCCCCATCGTAACCGGAACAGACAGAGGGGAAAATAGGTTTTGTGGCCGCCTGCCGTCGCAAACAACACAGGATCACAAGGACAATGATGCTTATCCAGAAAATCAGCGCTGCAAGAATGCCGCCAATTAACCAGGACTGGGAGAGGAACTCCTTGGAGGTGGAGCTGGCGGAGGTGGAGTCCCTGGAGGCGGAAGAAGCATCCTGCTGCCCGTGACCTTGCGAAGCCAACTGAGGTAGACCGGTGGATTCGTGCACCACACCAGACGCACTGACAGAAAAGTTCAGTGGAATGCTGCGCTGACTGCTGCCTTTACAGTTGACGACCGTCATCTGGAGGTGATAGACCTCGCCCGCTTTCAATCCGCCTACAACGCCGCTCTCCTCGCCATAAGTGAACTTCAGTTCTCTCTTGTCGTTCTCTGCGGCATTAAAAATGTAAACATAGAATTCACTGAGGAAACCATTCCAGGCGTCGGCTGGTGGTGGGCTCCAGGTTACCTCGACGCTGTGATTGGTTTTTCGCCTGAGGCCCCGAACAACCGGTGGCTGAGATGGTTGCTCTTCAGGGGTAAGGAAGAGAAGAGATGAACTCCGAGTGCCCAGTGCTTTACCAAAGCCCGGGAATGTGGCATAGGGCTGCACGCTGACACTGTAACAACGAAATGGTTTGAGATCCATGAGTGGGGTCTGCCAAATGGGGAGGCTGGCCTGTCCCTCATCGCCACCAACGAGCACATCTTTCTCCACTTCAGGGTTTTCCTGGGGTACTAGAGAAATGCCCTGGGCGGTTGGTAAAACGGCCCGTAGATGATGTTGTAAGTCCTGCGTACGCTGAAGCAGACTCTTTTCGTCTGGTCGGTCGGAGAGGCTGCAGTATTGGCCGCCTCCCATTTTTGGGGATTGCACGTGCTTCCGATTAGAACGAGAGGGAAACAGTTCAGAAACGCAGTTCATTAGGGGTACCTCCTTAAAGCGTAGATTGAACCCATGAAGAAGGGAGACTGAGTCCGCTGGGTGTGCAAGACTCCATGAGACACGCGCCTTGCGTGGTGAAATCACCTGAATATCTAGGGCGGTCACCTCAGTGGCCCTTACCTGATCTACTAGGTCCTGGGTCACAGATGGAGTGAAGGCGCCGCCCTTATGAAGTGGATAGCGAGTGGAGGTCATTCGAAGAGGTCCCAAGGGAGCACTGGCCCATCCAATGCGACCGTCAATCCATCGCGGCCGGACGAGTAAGTAATAATTGCCGTCTCTTTGAAGGGGCTCCAGTCGGATAGTTCTAGAAGGCCAGGACTCCTCTAACACTTGCCAGCCTCTATCTGGCTGTGCGTCATGGTACACTTCAATCCAATAGGAGATTTCGGGTCGATACACGTCGTTGGGAATGTCCGGAGCATCCC